TATGGTCTTGAGTAAATGAAATCTTAGGCGTATTGTTAACATGTCACCTTTAAATTCCTAAACATTTTTGATTTCTAATCTGTTATTTTCATAAATGAAACCATATGGAAGTCCTTGACTGGTAAACTACTTAATTGCGTGTTAAGTTTCAAACTGTCATAGCACTGTACAAGTTTTTAATTAAATAGACCTAAATAAATAAATGAATAATAAATAAATACTTCAGTGAACTATATATTTTCTGGAATATGGTTATTTGTAGAAGAAAAAAGGCCCTTGGGCGAAGTCAATTTTGTTGCGGAAACTTGTTAAATTATGCTGCCAAACTTCTTTACAGTTAGAAGTATAATAAAACAAACAATATTAATAGGCTCAGCATTGTAGAGAGACATCTATCAATTAGAAAATTAGATAAAATACCATAACTGGCATATATGCCGTCCTAAAGGGTACGGATTTATTGCATCCATACATTATGGAATAAGCTTCTATTAGACAGACTGTAGTTTGCTAGATTCACTAGAAATTCATATGCAGACACAAAACATGATAAAATTCTGTCAGCGTTTGTTTACACACTGTCATGTAGTTCCAAGTGAATGATGAGAGAATTAGCGAACTAGCCTTTGAAATGATCTGACATGTTGTTTTATCACTTCATTTGACGCCGTGACAGTTGCTGTAGTGGTGCATTGAATGGATTACAATAGCTTTATTGTTCACAATAACAGATTGTTACTCACTTGTTAGTGTGTGCATGCATAAACTGATGTTTTGTTATTCTATACATTGTTTTACCTTGTCTGTCTAGACAGGAAACACAATGACGTGAAGTGGAAAGTGGGACTTACAGCTGTTTATTCACTTAAATACCATAGTACATCAACACAGTCATTTCCACACACAACGGTATAGTTTAGGTTATCACCAGTCTTTATTGTTCCTGTTCTGCACTGCAGCAGAACATGAGTGTTAGTTCAGCTCCGTGCAAGGGTTCGTGGTTGAGTACAGTCCAAAAAAAAATAAAAATCAAGAGGTTCTCAAGTAACTTTCTGAGCAGTCCTTCCTCTTTAAGTGCAATACAAAAAGAAACACAATTGTTAAAACAAACTCTAAACATGATCATGTTTAAAATAGAAAAGATTCTGTAAGTGTCTCCGAGGTGAGTAGATTAGTACAGAATCTGAGAAGGAGACACTTTACAGTTTAGCAGAAATCATTTACAGAGTTTCTTAAGATTCTACTTGAGCATTACGGGAATTGAGGCTTTAGGTCAAATCCCAGTACTGCCAGGAGATGACCTCATCTGTTTTCTTTCTCAGTGACATCAACTCTTGGCAGCCCCCTGTTCACTATCTACTATGTGATTTCAAATGGTCTGTTCATTTCTTAAACTGTGGTACAGCAGTAAAAACAACATATTCTGTTAATAGTTTACGTTTAATATATACAGTATGTAATTAATATTATAAAATAATTGTAATCAATATGGTCTTTCATTAAATAAAGCACCCACTATGCAATAATTTTCTGATATATTTGCCTTGTAAGTCATCATAATGAGCCAACTGACAACATTTCAGTCACTTCATCGGTTCTAGTCCTTGATGACATCATCAATCTTTGACATCATTGTTGTCCGCTGGTGCTGATAAAACTGGAGGGCCATTCACATAGAACACGTTTTTACATTCCACGCTAAATACACGCTACATCTTGCGTCTTTTGCAGCATCTTGCGCATAATACTACGTTCTAACTACGCAGTGCTAAAGTTTAGGTTAACTTTGAAAAAATGCCACTCTAGACCTTACTCTTTTTTTTAATCCACTGCCCTGCATCATTTCCAAACCTAAAAACATGCTTGTACAGAATGCGTTTTCGCATTCCACTGCGCTACTTTTCCGTTATTGTTCTATGTAAACATGCGCTAGACATGTGCAACTTAAAAGTCAACTTAAAAGTCTCTAGGCCTTTCTCTTTTTTCCATTTCACTGCCCAGTGTCTCATGATTTTGAACGGACAAAATGCATTCTGTATTCCACTGTATTGCTTTTCTTTATAAACGTGATAAATGGGCACAACACAGCATTTTTAAAATGCAGTGCTAAAGTTAAGCTTTTAAAAAAAAGTATTTCTAGTCCTTGCAGTTTTTTTTTTCCATTCCATTACCAAGCGTCTTGCGTTTTGAAACGCAAAAATGCGTTCTGCGTGAACAGCCCATTTTTCTTCTCCATGTGTTCCTGGTTGCAAAAATAAATGCTGGTCACCGCTTATCATGACTTCGCTTATTTGCTACTTCTCAAACGGCTCATACCACAGCAACAATTTGTTTTTCTGGAACTGGATCATAAACCAGCTTTTATGCTACATCGCACAGACGCTTTTCTGGTTAATGCAGCAATAGCCTAGTGACACAATATTCATCTCAAGGGATTATGAATCACTTCAATGGGAAAATAAGTCATCCTTCCACCTTCAATCTGATGGATATGTGTTGGTTTATGAACAAGGGCTAAGACAAGAGGAGCTACACAATTCATGATACAAGAGCTAAATGCATTTCACGATCATTCACAACCTTCATATCCTTTCTCATCAGTAGCCATCTCACACAGGTATACATAAACATTCAAAAATGCACACACACACACACACACGACAAGCACCTGTATGCATACTTACACAAGGACGCATGCATGTAGTCAGGCACATTAGAATATACATTTAACACATTAGTTTTGATGCTCAGACTGTTCTTATAAATAAAGTGCTGAACTTCTAATTAGAAAAATCCACATATGCACAGAACACACAAAGGCATTCATATCAGGGTATGAGTAAAGGTAAAGGCCATAGTTATAGCCCTTGCGTACAAAAGGAGCATCTTCATGACAAATGGAGACATCATAGCTATAATGGACATAATTCAATATTTCTCAAAAGCCTCTTTGGCTGGGATAGTTCACCCAAAAATGAATATTCTGCTGTTATTTATAAAAAAAACATTGTTTGATTCAAATTAAATGAAGGAATCAAAAGTTATTTTGAACCCCAGTGACTTTCATAGTATGGGCAACAGTAAGAGCAATCTTCAAAATGGCATTCTGATTTGGAAAACATGAAAATGAGTAAATAATGGGTTTTCATTTTTGAATGAACTTTCCCTTTAAAATTTTCCAAACAAAGAGTGTTGATGGCATGGAGCAACTTTCTAATAACTTTGAAGCATAAAGAACACGCAGAGTTCTCATTTTTGTCAAATTAATAATCAGCCAGGGCTACATCTGAAATCTTTCAATCTGACTATACTGCAATCCAGTGACATCACATCCTGCCTACTGTCCTTTTCATAACATCTGGTATTTCACCCCTCTTCACAGGCTATACTTTTTACATCAAAAAGGGAAGTGTGCACTGGCAGTGCAAAGCCAATCGATTGCAATTCGCAAGTAATCATGAACTAACCTCAACGTGGCACTGGACGGGTCGGACACACTGTAAGGCAAGTCAGTGGTCAATTTGACACTAATTTGCATTGGTTTACTGAGGTAATAGTAGCCAAAACAGAAAATTGTTGTCTAAATGCACTGCAGAGTGGGGAATTTGATCGGATTCATTAAAATTTTTTATTATTAATCAGTCATCTCTCAGTAAGGTATTCCTTTGCAATATTTCAGTCATGATTTAAAACACTTGTGAATTTAAGTCCACCTGAGCTCCACATTTAGCTAATTGCACTGGTCTGATGGCATGGTAACTTTATTTACTGACATTTTACTTGCTGTTTGCATCCCTGTAATTCAAACCATAGCACATGGTGCTAGCA